ATTTGAAATTTTTCAGGTCAATCAATGATCATTTATTGAAATATGTTTTGCTGCCAAGGTTTGCACAAATGTGTCTTGTCAAGTATGAGATCATCATATTTTTCATCTTACACCATTTGTATAAGAAAGTTAATGAAATATTGTATATCATCTTACACCATTTAGAAATGATAATCATGGCAATTTTAGAAAAAAAATAAAATAAAATAAAATATATTAATTTTGAGTATACAAATTGCTCGAAAACCATACTAAATAAGAAAAATGAGTATAATGCACTCATATATTAGGTGAAGGGGACAACACAAGACAGCAAAATAAATTACAGCATTAAAATTATTATGAAAATTTCTTTTGTCCCATGCATGGAATCAATCTCTTCAATATCCTCGTCCATATTGAATGGAAATAACTGCACTTTATTTCGATAACAGCAATAAATAAACAAATTATGCTAATGGGCATTATCATCATTATTATTATTGTGATTATTATTATGGGAGATGTTACGGTCCCGTTACGGAATCATTATGTCGAAATTTGTAATCATTAGATCATCATGTAACCGTCGGGATAATTTGATCTAACGGTTACAAACCCCGACGAATGGTTCCGTAACAGAACCGTAATATTTTCCATTATTCTAGCATCTGAAAACTTTGTTCTATACATCATAGTAGGAGCATTGAAGTAGTACCACGGGTTTATGTAGTGCGTTATGTAGTGCGTTATGTAGTGCGGGTGGAATTATCCGAAATGAGGCCGGACAGTGGATCGATGGGTTTGTTATGAATGTTGGGTTTGGATCCATCACCGGTGCCGAACTTTGGGGCCTATTTCAGGGCCTTCAACTGGTTGGGACCTGGGATACCGATAAGTAGTCGCTGAAGTTGATAACCAGTGTGTGGTTAAAATAGTGCTTGGGCCCAAAGAACACTTTGGGGTCCACGAGTCTCTTGTTAGATCCATCTGAAACTTAGTAGATAAGGAATGGAATGTCCTGATCCAGAATGTTTATAGGGAGGCCAACTTTGCGGCTGACCATCTGGCGAGTTTAGCGAGTTCCTATCCTTTGGGCTTCCAGAGAGTCTCGTCACCGCCCCAGGGACTAGATGCATGGATTGATTATGATTACCGAGGTGTGGCTCAATCGCGTAGAGTTATAGTAGCGTAGCTTTAGGCCTTTGGTCTCCATCTTTGT